GCTATGTATGACGTCATTGAGACGCGCATTGCATTGTGCGTTGTTACTAAAAAATATATAGAATCCAACATGGCTGAATAGCGGGACCAAAAGCAATGTGTCGACTACTTGTATTATTGATAGGGACAGACATTACAGTGACCATATAATTTTATTGTTGAGTCTCTTGAATAACAGCCTAAGATAAAACTATAATCTAAACATCAAGACATTTAAAAACAAATAAACGGAGTCTCTTACCCTTCACACTATTTTCCGTCCCTATTTATCTGATTTAGTACCCGCGATCAACCTTTATCGCCGAGGCATTCCACCGACAAAAATGCAACCTTTGATGTTCAGAAAATGCTTGGATGATAAAGGCGAAATTCAGCTAACTCATGATATGCCTACGCATATCATAAAGCACCTTACTAAAACTACATTGCACCAGAGTGGTATGTAGCGCAATTTCTGATTGGTTGCTGATCATGAGATGTGAACGTAGTTTGCGTACCTTGTAGTGTAGTTAGAGGCGATTTACTGCCTGCATTTGTGTACAATCGGGCACTATCTGCTCTCTTACTTGGCATCGCATTGTTACGTCATACATACTGAAACAACAGAACAAGACGCAATGCTGTTTTTTTCATTATATTAGGTAGCTACGTTCACGTCAGGAAAACCGCCAATACAATGAATGACACGCTCAGTACAAACTACAATCTGAGTTATTCGAGTTGTTGCGAATTAATGAACATTTCGAATCCGATCATCAAAGAATCTTTTGTTTTCACGTGATACCGTAGTAATGGTTGGATTTTATGATAGCTAAATGCCAGATTTTTAATCAAAAATAACCAAGTAATTAATATGTCTGAATTGGGTTATATTGGATGTTATGTCAAAGACGGTTTCGGTGTTACGTAATACCGTACAATATAGCCGACGTGCCTGAATTGGACGAAATTGGGTATTGTGTCCAAATCTCAGTTGTTTTGAAAATTACACATGCGTTGTTTCATGTGAAAATAAATATATGTTTTAGGAAACAAATTTGTAATAAAGACAATTGATGTTTTTTAGTTTTAATTATTTCTTTATTTCATGATAAAGTAATGTCTACATGAGTAAGCTATATTATTATCGTGTTACTCGTAACATTATAATTGTATGGTGATCACTATCGAGTTGTTGGTTGGTTGGTATGTCGAAGGGGAAAACGATTCAGTTCTTGGAGACGCCCTTACTCGTCTTGGCACTGACAATATCCGTCTGGGTTCTCCTCTCGCCAAGCTGCAGCTGCATCCTGCAGTTCCTGTGATGGTGGTCTATAGCAGCAGTTGCCGTTGTTCAGTAACACGTAGGGGGCTAAATTTCTTGGGTCAAAGATGAACGGGAAGCTGCACTCAGGATTATGTTGCTCCTCAAAAATGCAATCTAGCAGCCTGACTGTTTCCAGACACGATACGGAGTACTTGGCGCGTATGTGAAGGACTGTTTCATTGACACACTTTTCTCGGATCATCGCTAAATGACATGGACCCAGTTCGCCTGTAAGACAAAAATCATCGTGACACACTAGGACTTTATAATTGCACGAATCCCAGAAATACAGCAACCAATAAAAATATTTGTGTATATTAAGTGGTGAATCTGGTCGAATCATTATTCATTTGATAAATAGTATTGTACATGACCTGACTTACTGGGTACAGTATTGTCACATATGCCCCATTCATCGTAATATGCAAGAGTAGATGTCAGCTGGTTTATGTTTCGTATAATATCATAACCACCTGGGGCGTATTCACAATATACTTCCAGTAGACACGCCAATCGGATCTGCAACGCAGAGACAAAGTTAGTGTCACAGTCGAAATGAGTGTATTGTTACAGTCTTCATACTTTTTATATGTAAGAATGTTTTAAAAATAGTAATATTTGGTGAACCACTTACCCTCATGAACTCACACCATTGCTCGCCAAGTCCTACATCCCAATTTTCAGGGTTATACAGATACGCGTTCGCCAAATCGAAACAGATGTTGTTCTGATGCTGATTGCATTCCTAAATAGGAAAATAAGAAAACTTGAAAACAACATTCCTTTCAGCTGAAATGCTGAATGTTAAGGGGGAAAAGAGGTCTTGCTTTTGTTACACGGTACCTGAAATTTGTTTGAGATCCATGAATGAATTCTGTCGATAAAAACAACTTGTATGTGCTACGAAATGCCCTAAATATCGGGTATAAAACGGGCTGTGAAGCAGACGACAAACGCCCGCTTAACCTCTAGAGGGCCAGTCAAATGATGTCATCAGTGAACACTGATAATTGAACCCATTCATTCTGCTAGTACGTCGGTCAATCCCATGGAAGTGCTACTATGAAAGAACTTGTTAACTGACAATTTAAAAGTTGAAACATGGTGAGGTGTTGTGTGTATGAAAGCCATAACGATTCATGTTAAGTTTCTCGAAATCTCAAATGAAAAATCACGTTGTTGGTTGCGAGAAATCGGCAGAAGAACTAACCTGAAAGTGAAGACACGTACAGCGTTCTAGCTATAGTAAACAGTGAGTGAATAAATTGTGTGCGAGTTAAAACTAAATTAGAACTACGCTAACATCACTTGAACTACAGTACTCATTTCGCCCAACTCCCCACTCGATCGCTTACCGCTTAATTTCCGACCTCGCTGTATTCTCCGACCGGAAAACGACCGCATTTTTATCGTTTTATTTCCTCCTGTACGTACAGGTAATTATGTTTTCAGTGTTGCATCGAATACTTCAATGTCTGTTGCCAAAACAAGGATTCTGTTTGGAACTTGTTCATGATTTGATGTTTTATCAAGATTTAAACATGCTCAAAAAACTCGGACAAATTACGGAAACTTGTTTAGATATAGCGAATTTCCTATATGAATAAGAGGTTGAACAAAAACAACCCCTTTCCACTGACAAAAATTAACTCCCCTTTTGGATAAAATGCAGACTTTCGGAAAAATCTACTAAACATTAAATTTATTTTTACACACAAAAAGAACTTTCTATTTGTTATCGCGGACATGCAAGCTCCGAAAAATATACCCTATTATCCACGAAATTAAGTATCACTTAACCAAGTGCCCCATAGTGGGAAACATTCCCGTCCTAACCCTGATATCGCGTTATGATACTGTACGCTGTTCATTATTAAAGCGTTGCGTTCTCTATCTTGATGTCAATGCAGGTCGGATAACTGGAGAGCACGTGACATCCATATACCAATGAGAACGCGCCGTTACACTGTACAACATTATTATAGGACTTAATGCGTTTAGAGTTCCCTAGTTGCTACGTTACTGTGCGCTGGAAGAAAGAAGTCGATTTTGTAACCAGTCCTCCGTGAGATTATTTGCCTTCGTTGTCAACAAGCTGTTGAAACATCCTTGGTTGTAATTCAACATACGAATACCACAATTAAAAAAAAATATTGCATTTTTCTGACAGTATTTTTCGAAACTGGGTGAAAAGTTGATGACTTGATGATCAATAATCATGTTATACTTTTGAAGCAACAAGTGATTCGCTGCCCACGACGATCTAAAACATAAATACTAGACTACGAATGAAACGTCGACATACAATGAGTAATGATATGCACACATTATCTCTATAATGTTCACAAAGTCAATAACCATTGAATTCGTCGACAGATTCACGAGTAGAGTCCACGTCCACCTATCACACCTACAACAGCTAACCCGTCCATCCATGTTTTCCAGTGAAAGTGACGTAAAACTCGCATGAACTAGTTGACATATATACGCATGCGTACTATTTCACACTTACCACTCCAAGTAAGAACTGTAAATTGGATATTCCGTGAAATAAGTAGATTCTAGTTTAAGAGTACTTTACAACTACAGTATACAACTTTACAACTACAAATATATAATAATTCAAATTCAAACCATATATACATGGCTGTAATTTACACAAATATTATAAATTGGAGAACACAAATTCAAGACATATAAAGAAATCTTAGTACAAAATAGAAATTAACGCAAAATAATCATAATGAAATAAAACTTACAGTACAGACGTTGGGGTCGTATGATTGAGTTAAGCCGAAGACTGCGACCAAAATGACCAATTTCATCATAATTGTAACGATGCTTGGATAACAGAGTTCTATGGTAATATTGCTGGAACTGCGAGTCCAATATCGTATATGCCGAATTTTCGATATGTATACATATATAGACGATTCGGATATTCTCGTTAATATCCTCCACCCCGTTAGTGAAAATTTAGAATGAATTTCATTGTCACAGATATGGTAATGTGACACTTACCGAGACCAATCGCGAGAAACTCACTTCATTCGTATGGATGTATGGCCGTGAATTTTTATTAAATTATTGTTTAGTAGCCTTGAACTTCTAGAGTTCTATTGTTACGCGTGACTAATGCGTAGTTTGTCAATTCCATTTAATTTGTGGACGATCCTTCATATTGCTCTCATTTCAAGCCGTCACAATGTACATTTCAACTTTGCCACTTCGGACGCGAGAATTATTGAATTGTCGCTGAGAGTGTTTTAAATTGAACAAATCCAAGAACGGTTGTAAATGTGTGGATATTAAAACTAAACTGTGCGGGTCCTGTTTTTAAACAAGTCTTCGAATTCAGGATCTTACAAAAATGACTTCCAAAAGTACTGGTTGTGTTTGTTAACTTTTAGTGTTAATACTGGATACGATATCAAAAACGATGTCAAACTGAAGAGTTCATAGTTTACAAAGTTTCCTATATATCCCAATGTTTATGGAAGTCCATAAGAACACACTTCGAATTCAGCAACCTGTTTGTGGTGTAAGAGATTAATCTAATACCACTGTGTTGACCCACTACTCACATTCAACGTTGCCTAACTTTGAATGCTACATTTTGTGAAACTACTCTCAATTAGAACCTGATTTTGAATTGAGTTGTAATATTGGGAATAATATGTACTCATGAAGGAGTGTGGGCAGTATTAAACATCCATTATTTTTAGTATTTAACTTATCAAATATATCTTATTATGTTTTAATTTATAAAGTGTTTACTCTTCTTCAAACGGGGGCTTGAAAGTGCAGAGGAAAGTTTCGTCGAACAATCTAAATCATTCGATTAGTATTGCTGGTCACACATTTCCACTCGATGAACATTAACCATATTGATTTTACAATGACACACGGTTTTAGAAAATCAAACACAACGCCCACATGAATATAAAAGAGCTGCATGGTATGTATGCCACTCAAGGGGCTGTGGTATATAATTTGAAAATAGAATTCTAACGTTAGAAATTCGGATGATTGACCGATAACCTTAACGTCGTATTTGTGTGTGTTTAAACTGAGACTAAAACTTAAATCACAGACATAAACATTATATTCCACATATGGATATTTGAGTGGTAGCTCCGGTGTTTAAAGGGATGTCTAGATAGTATTTATTTCGTGAATTTGTTGAATAGTTCAGATTGAGATTGAGATTGAGATTGAGACTCATGTTCGGATTTCCATTCATTCCATTTCCATTCAAGTAATAAGATAATTATACACTTAATTGAAAATTATTATGCTGATGATTACGTAGTAGGAGTAGCCCAGTAGGGATGAATTACCTCGTTCATTTGACTCCCTGCACAATTAGGACTAAAGTTGCATTACAAAAGGAAATGTACACATAGAAATCAGGTTTAGTAATAAACATTGCGCTATTAATAATAATTAATTATTTCATTGAACGAATGTTAATCAATTGTGTATATCAACATACGTTATCAAACACTGTGGCTGTCTAATGCACACATTCGATCAGGTAATTGTAACACAAGTAAGAGACTATGGTAGACTGTAATACGTCGTTTATTTCGGTAGAGAAGTCTGGCATCAATGTACAATGAGAACAATCCACTAAACATGCATTGAAACACCCTTTACACCTCGGATTTTAAAATTGGAGGGAAACACTGTGATTGGTTTGCCATGTGAGAAGGTCACTATTGAATACACATTGCGACTTAATCCGCTACAAAGTTGCGATTGCTCTTGCATTCGCCGTGACAAGAACGTGTGAACGAATTTGTGACCATTACGTAAATGGCTTACATAAACTGATTTGTGTTTCTTTGTAATAGAGATATATGCGTTATGAGGTGAAATCAAGCATGAAACGAGTTCTAACGAATATATCTGGGAGAATAATACTTGGAAACGAATGAAACAAAAACGAACAAATACAGAAAATCATTGTCTATTGATACAAACTAAACAATTACAATTAAACAACAACATAATAATAATCATCCACGTTAAACACAAAAACTTTTGGTATATGCCTAATTATTGCTATGGTTACGAACTCTAAAATTGCCATTGACTGGTGTTAACATATCAGTTTATCACGTTGGGCTGTTCGTACAATGACGAAAAGGAGAATGAAATAAATGATGTTCAATTCTCTCCACCAATGATGCAATGCGACATTACCCTGGTCAATGTTCATTTCTCGTCAGTAATGAAGCAAGCGACATTACCCTGGACAATGTTCATTTCTCTTTAGCAATGATGCAATGCGAAATTACCGGTGACAATGTTCATTTCTACTCAGTAATGAAGCATACGACATTACCCTGGACAATGTTCATTTCTCTCTAGCAATGATGCAATACGACATTACCCTGGACCAAGTTCAATTCTCTCCAGTGCATGCGACATTACCATAGACGATATTCAATTTTCTCCAATAATGAAGCATGTGACATTACCCTAGACAATGTTCATTTCTCATCAATAACAACATTATCCAGAACGATATTCATTCCTCTTTAGCAATGATGCAATGCGACATTACCCTGGACTAAGTTCAATTTTCTTCACCAATGATGTCTAGGGTAATGATGCAATGCAACATTACCATAGACGATATTCAATTTTCTCCATTAATGAAGCATGCGACATAACCCTAGACAATGTTCATTTCTCCTCAATAACATCGACATTATCCAGAACGTATTTCAATTCTCTCTAGCAATGATGCAATGTGACAATACCCTGGACGATGTTCAATTCACCTGGATAATAATAAATGTTAAATTACACTGGACGATATTCATTTCTCTTCATTAATGGCGCACATATTATGCAATACTTCTACAAAATACAAAGGGGGTATGTTACCAAATATTGATAGGCAATTCATCCCGAGACTGAGATATTATGAACAGAGTAATTTAATTTTCAAAAATGTTTAGTTATGCATAACCTTGATATTTCCATATAATGTTTGACTGTATAAATTCTGTTTTTATACCTTCTTGTAAATTAATTCTTTTCGAAAACGTTTTTCATTTGTCATATGAAAAGGTAACAAGAATATGCACACAGTTATCGAATTTGTATTGGGTTGGGTATACTGTCACGAGATTTACACAATAATGCCAAATGAAAATTACCAAATATAGTTTAAAGCTAGAAGGATAAGAAGATATATACTAGCATTCGTGAGATTCCGGATAGAATACGTCTAACCATAAACACCTACAGATAAGATATTCACACTGTTTTCTTGATAAGAGAAAGCTACAGGTTAGTATATGTTAATATATAGTAATCAGGAGATGTTAAAAGATAAACAGACAAAATATATTGCAAAATAAATTAAATGGCTGTATCACATTTGTGTGTTGCTTTTGTTTGTATGTACAGTGGCACACAAAAAGGCAGGAAAGTGTTTTCTTTTCCTATACGTGAATGTCGGACAAAAAGTAACTTTTTTCCACTTTTAAGGTTTCAAGTTATGTCTGAGTGCTCCACACACATACACACTATCAAATATTAACATACAAATATAATTTTATTTCGTCCTTCAATTAGTTCTACGAAGAACTATAATCATTTATTGTTCAAGATTTATTTCTGTAGTATTTGATAGTTCAGGACACTGGATGTCACTGCTAACTAAGGATTTACAAAATATCAAGTCTCTCTAAAATGATACTGTATGCACCATGCTGTCTATCTCACTTTGACAGAAAGTACCCAGGGAAGTAAGATATCTTAATAGGTTAATTTTATGTAGTTTTTTATTGGAATTTTTAATTCCTTGTTTTAGTGTCTGTTGTCATTTTTATCATGAGATTGTACAATTGTTTCAAATTCATATATGTATGATTAATTTTTTTATTCTTCACATATTTTACATATAAGAACTCTAGTTTCTTTTTTCAACGTTTTGTGGATAGTAGATTAAGATTGTTAAGTAAATGCCCTCTCCTTTTCCAATTCATTAGGAATAGTTGGCAACAGTCCTATTAGCTTTGCTATAATTTGCCAGGGTATCAGATCATATCCAATAAAAAGATCTGATACTTTCAATATATCTTTTGGCCTGAAAAGTTCAAACTATATATTAATTTTATTGCCCATTAATATTTTCTCCAAAGATCTCCTTTGTTCGAAAGTATTTCATTCGAATTCTCTCTTTGAATCAATTTCATTTTTGTGACTTATATCTGAGATGATGTCTTGATTTTGAAATATTGACAAATTTAATTTTGTAGAATTGCGAGTTACTTGTCATCTATTTATCATTGACATTGTCATCTATTGTAATACGAGACATGTATTTAATAGTATATGTGAGCACAATATTTCAGTCTGAAGAACACCAGTAACATTTTTACTCCTAAATTTTTCTTGAACTCGCATAATCAATGCAAATTATTTTCTGAAGCATAGTATATGAAATATGACAAAAGTCAAAGAAGAAACAAAGTGTGGGTGGACATAGTTTATATAAGAATTCATTTAATGACAAAAATCACATACATTTACAGAATGTTGTGTTGAACTCTTTTACTGCTAAATTCATTTCATTTTTCCTCTTATTTTGAACAAAATAATGACTTTGTTGGTAATTTCTTTTTCAAAAACAAGTGCATATTAAATTTGTAAAATTTGCAAAATGTAAAATAGTCCATATGCAAATTAAAATATTTTGGTAATATATTCAATATTGAATCATTTAATCACTGTGGAAAGATTAATTAGTTTATTCATATGCAAATGAAAGTTCGAATAATTTTTTCATATGCAAATAAGGATAATTTATTCAATATGCAAATATGGGTGATCTATTCCTTTGAGAAACCTAATATGAGGCATAATTCTGAAGTTCAATTTATTTTATTCCTGAATTTGTCATAGAAAACGAGGTGCATAAACCTTTGCCTTCCACTTTAAAAGGTACACCCTGATAAGTGGCAACTTTGTCAGCATTGACATGAAGTTCTGGTTGTATTTTCTCAAATATTTTCTTCTTGGGATTCATTTGTGGTGGAAAGTCTCCCACTGTAAGAAAAGAAAAAATACGTTTTAGATATGAACTCAAGATTTTCATGATAATAATTACAGTTTATGTATTTTTATATTATCTCTATAGTAATAACACTTTGATTGTCACTTTAATTCTTCTTTTATCATTTTTTAAAAATAATTTACTAATTTACTAATGGGTATATAAGGTTTTAAAAAAAATTAAGTGGTTTATGTTGTGAAAAGAGCGACCATTTTGAGTAACAATTGGGGAGACCTGGGATGTGTAATTTCCTAATTTGAAAAAAAAAAGTTCTGTGACCCAGTTTTTCATTGAGTTCACCAAATTACAGCATTGTAAAAGACAAATTTCAACCATCAAATGGCAGCAAATGTTCATGTATAGTTTTATAATTTTGGATAATATAAACATAAATCCCATTGGCTACATGTCTTGATCAACATATTTGAAAACATCTGCAAAAACTGATGTAGGATTATTTTGTAAAATGTTACAATAGTTAGCATTCAAAGATCTTTAAGTATGAATAAAAAGATCCCAGGGAAAATCCATTTTGCAAATGATTTTAATCATCAAATCCAGTATGGTTCTGTAATATGATTTAGATGTCTTATACTTCACTGCAGTTTTTTAACCTTCTTTGGGGGCGAATTGCCATTTGAAGTTTTAAACAAACTGGATCACCACATTCATTATACTGTACATGTACTAAGATGACAATTTGGTCTGGGTCTTGTATAAATCCTGTTGTATAAGAGTTCCCCTCCCTCAGCAAAAAAAACAAAAAAACATACACACATATGCTCACTCACTTAGAAAACAATTTATGCATTTTACACAATCTGTAAAAAGTTCAAACGACAAAATGAAGTAAGCAGGCAATCTACATTATCTAACAGTGACAGCGAATGTTTAAGCAAGATAGAAGGATTTGAGTGAAAACATCAAAAATAAACATTTATTTTGCTATAAGCAATATAAACTGAGAATTGTAATATGGACAAAATACTTACATGGATACCCCTCAAAACTGATTCTGTCTCCTGGTACACTACCCTCTGGAGGATTTATAAATTCCACTTTCTCAGGAGAGCTGGCACACATCACCATAGCTTGGCTCAATACACCACGCATCTTAGCAGGTTTTAAATTACACAATACAATCACCAATCTATCAGCCATCTACATTTTGGGTTGAAAGATAACAATTTGGTTAGTCCACTGTTTTCTTAAATAATTGATTTATATTAAAGTATATTGATATCTAAAACGAATTCTTCAAAACAATAGGGTCTTTCAATGCTTTTACTAATCCACTTAATATTCATGTGAAAACATACACATTTGGTCAAATGTCAGCAGGTGAAAAATTTAAGCTTCATAAGTTGTGTAATTCTACACGCATTTATGCAAAAAACGGATAAAAACTAATTTTCTGGTTCAAAATTTTCTTTTCCAAAAGCCTGGGTGCTACTTGCATAGTGGGCATACTAAACATTTTACTCTGTGTGTGTTCATTTCATACCACAGCGGCCATTTTGGCTCAATATTTCATGGATTAAAATGACATTGTTAGTCAAATTCCACTCCTTACTCATTATGTAGCTGATAATAATATTGATAGATAGATAAATAATATTCAAATGTTATTATTTCTAATTAGTATTTATAGAGGGGTAAGGTACAGATTCTGTAACAGCCAGGAATGACGTACATACACCCAGTCAACACATGCTAGATATCATTTCACATATTTACACCATTGTAATCATCCAGAATTTGAAATCCCATTATGGTAATTTGTTATTTAAGTAACTACTTAATATTCTGTCGTATTGAACTAATTTGTACGTTACTACTTTAAACTATCACTTAATCCATTTGAGATGGTACAATAAATACAACTCTATTAATCAAACCATCTGGTGATTTGTCCTGATGGTCTGGTCAGCATTTTAGTACCGCAAAAAACATATAGTGAATAATTTGTAATAATGTTGTCAATTACAGATGAATACAAAAACAGGAATATCATATGTTGGTTTAAAAGCAAATTAAACATTTTTATGACCTTAACATACATTTGCCGCATTCCTATCATCCTCAGGTTCATTACAGTTAAAATAAACAGGACAGTGATAGAATAATGTTAAAACAATTTAGCAATTTATAGTTAATCATATTTGGGGAATGAATTGAAAATTTCAAAAACTCAATATAAGGAAAATAAGATACTATGCAATGAATTTAAAATGTCAAGGTTAACAGAACATATGGGTAAATCAGTCACACACCTCCTAATCTAATTATAAACATTCAAACATCGTTCAATGCAAATAAGCCATGACGAAATAACTATGGAAGATTATTAGCATACATGGAATACTTGGGATCGCATTCTCACATTGTTCTTATTCGTAAAGATATATTCTCGTATTTGAGTGAAAGAAACAGAAAATATCCATCTGATGTTTCTCAATCAACTGAACAAATGAATTCAAACAGAAAGCATGAAAGTTGAAAGTGGTAGAATGTTGAACATTTGAATTGTTAGTTTAATTTATCACTTTCTAATTTTATCAGTGAGTATATTAATTAACACATTGTCTGTTGAAAGCCTTCATGGATATCTAACATGAAATGTTTATAACTGCGTCAACAAGCAATGTGTTCAATAAACTCTGAATCAGTGATACACAATACAGTTTCAAAATTAGCATATAAAACCCTAAATTCAGAATTACGTTTCATCATGCTGTTTGTTGTCATCAGCTTTGACCATAGTCACTCTACCACATTCCCAATCACCACCACACACGAACATTAAGCTGTCGTATTACCTCCTCCAATGTATAATGTTTAACCAGACCAGACACCACTGTCCGTGGAGCTTCTTCACCACAGTCAATTTCTTCTATGTATAAAGTATCTGCATCTGGGTGTTTCTGGACATTCACGATGCGCCCAATACGCATATCAAGAAAACTGACATCAACCGGTACATCAGGTACTTTCTCCTGCTGCTTTGGACCTTAAATTAAAAAAAATTTCCATCCCATGTGATGCGTAATCCAAGACAATGTAAACAATATTTTTACACACCAACATTAAATGGTGCAACATTCATATCCATCATTCTGTAATTCATTTATTTTTTTGGACCAAATGAACACAGGCTCCGAATGGCAGCATGTTTGGTCAAATTCTTTTAAGGATAACTTGTGTTTAATATTTTAATATTTTAGCCACAATTAGAAAGAATTATGAGAATTTGTTCTAGTTGTAAAAATGAGTCTACTTGATCTTATTTATTGGAGCAGATTTACCTGATACCAGATTACATGATTTACCGGATCAGACATCAAATTTTGTGGTTTACACAACCAGATTAATTAATCTGTTAATCATGTCATCTAATCAGTTCATAAGTCATTTAGATAATACACTTGAAACTCGTTAATAATTAGGAGTCTAATCATTGTACAGATGTAAATAGGAAAACAATATATATAATGTCAACATTGTTGTCACTTATTACCTTTTTTCTTCTCTTTCTTCTTTCCTTCACCTTTAGCTGCAGCAGTCTGGGGTGCTGCAGCTTCATTAGTTGCTGCAGTGTCAGTTGGTACAGATGTCTTGTTGAACAGTGCAGCTTCCACTGCTGGGGCTGGTTTGGATATCTTAACTTGTTTAACTGAAAGGAAAAATGATGAGCATGTAACAATGCTGTGATCAGCAACCACTCATACACAATGCATCATATACAAAGAAGACAATTACAAAGAAACAAATTTGAAACTAAATGAAACTGACTATACATGGACATTATTGACAGTCTTGCATGAACAAGCAGCCATAGCATTGCAGCCATCTTATGGTCCACAATATAATTAAAAACAACCACATATACACAGATACAAATGAATCTATAGTAACTGCATACTTACATCCATTTTTGGTCTCCATGGTAATCAGTTTCTGCTTCATGTTCTCAATGTCTTTCTTTAACTGTTCATTCTCAGCTTCAAGTTTTTTCTCTTCATCCCCCAAAATACTTACTGGAAATGGTATTATGGGATATCAGCAACCATGGCAACAATAAATCAGACTTTAAATCATTATTCATATAAGTGTTCCCTCTTAAGTTTAACAAAATATATTAAATGAAGCGGAATGTTGGTCACTAAGTAACTTGATAATGTCACAACTTAGTATTGTCACTGAGGAACCTGGTGATGTCACTGTGTATCATTGTGATGTCACTGTGCAACTTGCTGATGTCACTGTGCAACCTGTGATGTCACTGAGCAACTTGCTGATGTCACCATTCAACATTGTGATGTCACTGAGCAACTTGCTGATGTCACTGTTCAACTTGCTAATGTCACTGAGCAACTTGCTGATGTCACTGAGCAACTTGTTGATGTCACTATGCAACATTGTGATGTCACTGAGAAACTTGCTGATGTCATTGTTCAACTTGCTAATGTCACTGAGCAACTTGCTGATGTCACTGAGCAACTTGCTGATGTCACTATGCAACATTGTGATGTCACTGAGAAACTTGCTGTCACTGTGCAACTTGCAGATGTCACTGAGCAACTTGCAGATGTCACTGAGCAACTTGCTGATGTCACTGAGCAACTTGCTGATGTCACTGAGCAACTTGCTGATGTCACTGAGCAACTTGCTGATGTCACTGAGCAACTTGCTGATGTCACTGAGCAACTTGCTTATGTGACTGAGCAACTTGCTTGCTGATGTCACTGAGCAACTTGCTGATGTCACTATGCAACATTGTGATGTCACCGAGAAACTTGCTGTCACTGTGCAACTTGCAGA